TAGAGATGTTCATCGTGATTGACAACTCGTCGCTGTCGGATGGATTGTAAAGAGTATTAGACAATTGATCTGAGTTACACGACTGCAATTATGTTTGAATAGAAACAGTGCTACTAATTCATAAGATTCATCCATTATCAAAGTATTGTCCTTGCATATATTGAATTTCGAGTTGAGGGTGTGGGTGCGGGTTTGGATGTGGGTATGAGTGAGGATAGAAGATACCCACAATCACACCCACACTCTTAATATCAATTTAAATCCGAGATGTTCATCGTCACTGGCAACTCGTCGCTACCAGATTGTAAAGAATATTAGATTATTGATCTACATTTCGCGATTATAATTATGTTTGAATAGAACTAGTGCTACTAATTGATAAAATTCGTCCGTCATCAGAGTGTTGTCCTTGCAAATATTCAATTTAGAGTTGAATTCATGCAACTCTATGCTTTCTCTTAAAAAATACATCGTATCACGATAAACATCTCCGCTTTTTTATATATCTGATAAGTTTTTATTCTAAAACAGATCGAAACATTCAAAGAAGGAAGCTGCTAACAAAAATACTTATTGCGCATAAAGAAATAAAGAACATGATTAAAAGTGAGTCCTAACAAAGCAGATTATTTAACAGAGTCAAATAAAAAAAGACATCAAACTAATCATGACTTATTCATTGACGTCGATCATTTATTGACGATGATAGTTGATATCTTATTTTCAGTTAAAACACGTCCGATGATTAATGCAGATTTTTATCAATTCTCTTTTCTCTTCATCACGTTCTTCTCCACTAAAATCAAAAATTTTCTATAAAATCAAAAAAAGAAAGGGAACATGTCAAATTTAAATTTAATTCTATTTTTTCGAATTTCAAAAAGAACAAAATTCAATGACAAATATAAAATTAAATCATCAATTTTTTTCATTAATTCAATGTAAAATCAATTTTTTATCTTACCTACGACAAAATCTTCTCTAGAACACTATTTTTTCTCTTTGTGTTATTTTGGAAGAAATAAAAGCGAGAAAGAGAGATATATAACTAAAGAGAAAATCTACAACAAGTGTCATTTTGTTTTCATCGAAGACAAAGAAGAAGATTATTTTATTAATTAACTAATTTATCAAAAAGAAATCTTGTTGAATGATGTGGAATATCTGCATATTTATCATTCTTTTTCTGTTCATTCTCAGCAATGAAACAACAGGTAAATAATTTTATTTATCACATACTGAAGATCAGCTATTGCATAAAAATGACATTATTTGTTAGAGTTTTAGTTGAACAAAAGAGAGTCAAATAATAGATTACAGTATTCGACAGGAACTTCTGTTATATATTCAAAAGTGATGGTACTCATCTCTTTTAGCGACTATGCGCAATTTTTCTATGGTTTGAAGAATTAGTATATTTTAAGTTTGAAAGTATAAGTTAGAATAGTGATTGATAGTATTGTAGATATCTAAGTTTGTATCGACTGATAGTTTTAAAACGACTGAAAACTTGAACATTACTGAAACGTTCTATCGATATCAAATTAATTTGTAGATCTTGAGACGAGAATCAGACTCAAGAGAAAGGAAAGAAACCTATTTCATCATATTGCATTATAACATATGGAAAAAAAGGATTAGTTGACTTTTCTAGATAAAATCAAAATGAAAACAAAGTTTTGTGAAATTATTTGACTATTCTGGTTTGAGATAAGATGTAGATCGATTTATCCCATACAGATCACCATCTTCATTGTATAAAAAAATACTATGATTATGATAAAATAATTCTATTGTGTTTGATGTATTCAAAGAGTTTTATGTATAAAAATAGAGATAAAATGTGAAGTCAGTTTATTAAATTATAAACTATAGAAATGAATATATCTCCTAGAAAGAAAGAGCACAAATTATAAGAGAATGTAGAAATACTTTGCGAGTAGAAATTCATGATTGATACTACCATATTTGTTACTAGACTATCATAAAAGAATATTGTTAACTAAGGCAAGATTTGAAACAAAGCTCAGATACATAGAAGTTTTTCTTATGTTCAAAAAGGAATCAATGATTATTGAAATTGTTTTCTCAAAATATTCAACTTGAAATAATGAGAGGAAAAGTTTCATTAAATTGAATTATTATTTGACAAAAAAGTTAAAGGAAATTGGTTTTATTCAATATAAGTTTGGTTCAGATCGATTTCAAATTTGTTTTGTTTAATTTCATGAGAATTTAAAAAGAAAGAGAAAAAAAATAATTTTTTTCAATTAATTTCTTCGAATGACTATTTAATTAAAAGTTAGCAAGAGAATTTTCATCTCTCTTTCACATATCAGATTCAATTCACAATGTTTTTTATATGAAAATTAGAATTGATTTTGAATTTCAATAAAATCATTTTCATTCTAAAACAATTCTTTTTTTCTCTTCTGAATGCATTTTCGTTGAACAAATAAAAAAATGATGTGATTATTTCTTTTTGTCTTCAATGATAATCATATGTTCTCAAGGATAGAACTCTTTTAATTCATATTTACAAATCATCCGAGAAAATAGAACAACAATCATACAAATCTTTTCAAAACTAATTCTAATGGTTTTTTTTCAAGAAAAACATAAATTGATAACTTCATTTTGTTCACAGTCTTCTCTAATATTCTCTGTATTTTTCTCGTTTTAGCTCTTTCATTCAATCAACCAAAGTTTTCTCCAACAGCCACTTGGAATTTCAATGGAATTACGTTTGCTAATCACTCGACTGTTGGGGAATTTCCTTGGGCCATTTTTGTGACCACAAACAACACAGTTTATGTCGCCAATCGAGAAATTAGCACAATTGTAATGTGGCTTGAAGGGAGTGTCAATCCAACAAAGATCATTTCTGGTAGTTTTATAGAACCCGTGTCTCTCTTCGTGACATCGAATGGTGATATTTATATTGATGATGGTGAGAAGAATGGTCGAGTACAGAAATGGATAGCAGATACAAATACCTTTGTTACAGTGATGAATGTCAACTCATCATGTGATGGTTTGTTTGTCGATATCAATGATACGCTTTATTGTTCAATGTACTATCATCATCAAGTAGTAAAAAGATCATTAAATGATTCTGTGATGAGTTCAAATCGTGTTGCCGCTGGAACAGGTATTGAAGGATCCGCCTCGAATCAACTCGAGGGTCCTTACGGAATCTTTGTTGATGTGAATTTGGATTTATACGTAGCAGATTGTCACAATGATCGAGTTCAGCTATTTCAGTCGGAAGAATCAAATGGTATCACAGCGGCTGGAAGTACGTCACGAAATCCAACAATTAAACTTCGTTTACCACGTGGAATTATATTAGATGCTGATAAATACTTATTCATTCTGGATTCCTTCAATAGTCGCATTATTGGTTCAGGCTTGAATGGTTTTCGATGTTTAGCTGGATGTTACGGATGGGGTTCACAATCCAATCAATTATCCAGTCCTTTAAGTTTTAGTTTTGATAGTTATGGAAACATATTTGTCACTGATCAATATAATGATCGAATTCAAAAATTTTTACTGATAAAAGATTCTTTTGGTAAGTTGAGGAAAAGTTGAATTGAATGAAGAGATTTGAATAGATAAATAACTGAAATTAGCAGTTATATTTTTATATAAAAAACAAAAGAAAACAAAAATGATTGAGAAAGATTAATTCAACCAATGTGTCTAAGGAAATTAAATGTTGACATTAGACAGAGTCATGTGTTAATCGTTTAAGTCAAACAATCATCGCATGTTGACAAACATTTCTAAAAATATTTTTCATAAAACTATTTCTTTGAAGAAACTTAATTTTTCTTCTTCGAATATAGAAATTGAGAATTTTATTTCGTTTATAGTACTTCTCTGATATTTTTCTCGTTTTTAGGTCTTTCGTTAAATCAACCACAGTTTTGTTCAACAGCCTCTTGGAATTTCAATGGAATTACCATTGCTAATCAATCGATTGTTGGTCACTATCTCAGAGCTATTTTTGTGAACACAAACAATACAATCTATATCACTAATCGACAAAATAGCACAATTGTAATATGGCATGAAGAGAGTGTCAATCCAACAATGATCATTTTTGGTAATTTTACAAATCCTTATTCTCTCTTCATGACATCGAATGGTGATATTTATATTGATGATGGTGAAAAGAATGGTCGAGTACAGAAATGGATAGCAAAAACAAATAACTTTGTCACGGTAATGAATGTCAATTCCGCTTGTTCTGGTTTGTTTGTCGATATCAAGGATACTCTTTACTGTTCGATGTCCAAGCATCATCAAGTAGTGAAAAGATCATTAAATGATCCTTTGATGACTTCAACTCGTGTTGCTGCTGGAACAGGTATTTACGGATCAGCCTCGAATCAGCTCAATAGTCCTCGAGGAATCTTTGTCGATGTGAATTTGGATTTATATGTGGCAGATTGTCTAAATGATCGAGTTCAGTTATTCCAGTCGGAAGAATCAAAGAGTATCACAGTAGCTGGAGGTGAATCACTAAATCCAACAATTACACTTAGCTGCCCAAGTGGAATTATATTAGATGCCGAGAAATATTTATTCATTGTGGATCAAGGCAATAATCGTATTGTTGGTTCAGGCTTGAATGGTTTCCGATGTTTAGTTGGATGTTATGGAGGGGGTTCTCAATCCAGTGAATTGAATAATCCATTTAGTTTTAGTTTCGATCATTCTGGAAACATGTTTGTTACTGATCAATCAAATCATCGAATTCAAAAATTTCAATATGTCGAAGAATCATGTAGTAAGTTTAGAATGATCGAATAAAGTTTCTAATATCATTTCAATCAAAATTTATTCAGAGAATCAAAAAGAAAAACTATCATAGAAGATAAGAATGAAAATGAAACTCCTGATGGAGTTAAAACTGAATTATTGATTAATTAAATTCAAATTTCAAGTTTCATCCTAATATACTATTGTTATAAAATAAAAACCTTGCTTGTTTGTATTTCTCTATAAAAGTCAATCAATAACATTATCGTCATGTTAGTTGCATGATGTAGATGGGAATTAGAGTGTCTATGTATTTATTAGAAATAATCAGAGATGAATTCAGTCCTTTCGGTTGAACTTTCTTTATAAATTTTCTTTGATTCACCGTTATCTGCGCTCACTTATCGCTGCTGACTGTAGAAAATAATGAACACAATGATTCTATAAAATGTAAGACATTCGTGAGACATAAAATTTTCATTGGACTAAAACCATTTCGAAGTAAATATCAATTTGAAGAAAAATTTCTCGCGTCGAATTCCATATTTTAGAAGAAAATAAGTTTTACAAATTGTTTTGAAATCAACAAAAAATCGTTTTGCATAATTTTTCAATGTGCTCTCAAATTCATAGATATAAAACATCTGTTAGGGAGAAATGACCCTATGCTGAAGTGTTAATTACAACCTATGGTGCAATCATAGAGATTCAGAATGCCACCTTTACTCTCGAGATGAGAAAATGATTATGTTATATTTGCAGTCACGCTTTTCGGTTGATGAACGAGAATAGAATTAGGATTATCACAAAAGAGTTGGATTTGGACGCACGTCAGTCTGCTCACAGAAAAATGCTAACAACGAGAAGAATGAAAAAATTTCTATCCTAACTTGATTATTCAAGATACGCTTTATTAAAATAAAAAATAATTGAAGAGTCGCTTTTGTAATCTTTTAACAATGGATCGAGTGTCAATTCTAACCGACATTTTCTTAATGATCTCATGCTTTACTCATAGACTGACTTAAATTTTATGAAATAGTTTGATCAGATAGTTTATTGTTATGCTTAGTGATATCGACAAAAAAACTAATGTTTTGTATTATATGTATCAAAGAAGAAAAGTTTGAAGATAAAGAAACAATGAAGAAATCATAAATTTATAAGTCTATCACTTATGAGATTTTCTTAGTTCAGAATGGTACTCCTTTTTATATATGAGATTTTCTAAAATTTCTTTATTGCAATTATTACAATGTCTCTTAGAAACGACATACGGATCTTAAGGGTTAACATCGATACTTATTGTAAGGACGCTAAATAGATATTTTATCTCATGTTTTTCCTCATTTTTCTTTTGAAAGCATTGCTCTAAAACAAACGATTCAACTCTCATTACTAAACAGAATGAAAAACATACTAAGAACACACAATTATTTCTTTTCTTTATTCTAAATAAAAATACTTATTAATTTTTTTCATTCAATAGATAATTCATTATTACTAATAAAATCAATGTATTCATCATCGTTGACACCAAATAGTTCAATTTATTACCAAGAATGTTCAGAGTTAAATTCATATTATGAAGCGATACAAGTCAACGTCACTATAACTGAGTATTATACTTTTCTAATCAAAAGCGAAATGAAAACCATGTACGCTTATATCTACACAAATAACTTCAATCTATTCGATATGTCCAAAAATGTGCTTATTCGTAATGGAGACTCTGACAATCAAGGCCAATTTCAACTCGCAGCTGTTCTTGAATCTAATATGAAATACATTTTCGTTATGACAACATCTTCTCCGAATATAACAGGAAATTTTTCAATTCAAGTATCCAGCCGAAGCTATATCGATTTCAATCGTATTTGTGAGTATTTATAGTATTTTAATAGATAATCAGCTGCACATATTCCCTAGACTGAAAAGGATAGGGTCTAGAAACGGGAATTATCTATTTACATGTATTATTTTCGTCGGTAATATGGCACAAATGACAATTTTTTGGCCCACATAACCATGTAACTGTAGTATATTTTTGATAATATAATTTTATTTGCTATTATCGTTTTATCTGAATAGCATAATATTTAATATATAATATTTTATATAATTGTATCAAAAGAGCGTGAACTTAAAAATTTAAAATGTTTAAGAATTATATATAGATTATTATTTTATTCAACAAATTAAAATATTTCGATGAACGCTACTTGTTCATAATCGATAAAAAATATAGATAAACCCAGTCTACAAAATGATATACAGATAATTCTATTCGATAGAGACTAAGATTCATATCACTTCCAGTCGCTTTCGGTAAATATATTTAAGAGAGAAAATAAAATTTTAAATTATTTACACTTGTTTCTATATTATACAAAATTGAATCAATTTTCTTTTTTGTCAGTGAATACTTCATCAGTTGTCCAAACAGTTTATGCATCAGAGTTGGCTACGAGTAGTTCAACGTATTTCGATGTCGAGTACGGACCAAGTTCTTACTATGATGCGATGCAAGTGAATGTTCGTACAAGTGGTTTTTACACTTTCATCGGCAAAAGCAATATGAATATAATCGGGCGTATTTACAAAGATGATTTCAATCCATCCAATCCAGCTGAAAATATACTCCCACCCAATGCTAACCTCTGCAATAAAAATCAGTTCAGACTAACAGATGGTCTTGAAGCCAGTATCACATATATATTGATTGTGACAACATTTTCCTCAAACATGACAGGTACATTCTCGATCTTTATATCTGGTCCAGACAATGTTCACCTCAAGAATATTAGTAAGTGTGAGAATGCATCCTATTCCGCGATGTTGAACATTGGAGGAACCAGTTCCGCACCGGAATCGATTCCGTCCAATTCCGGGAACTCGATCGACACACAACATAAGACACCCAGTCAAGATTGATCGAGTTCGACCGATTCCGGAATTGCACGGAATTCCCACCGATTCCGGAATTGCACGGAATTCCTGCCGATTCCGGAATTCCGTACCGGAATCACACCATCCACTTCACCCACATTTATTGTGTTGTGTTGATAAGTTATCCCGTTTGAATACGATCCAATTCCG